CGTTATTCCATTAACATATATTGGGGTGGCTTTGTGAACTTAGAGATTTCTCCTGCTGGTCTGCTAGTTCTTGTGCAACTTTGGATTCCAGTACTTCTAGGTGTTCTGGTACCTTGTAGGGACAATATTACCGCAGAGATGCTGTGCTAACAACTGGATGGAACATGTGTTGAGAAAAGTCTGCACACGAGGGCAGGCAGCCAGAAGATGACTGATAACACCACTGACGAAGCAGGCTTATTGTTAATACCTGTCAGGAGTTTGACAACAGGCATTTCCAGTTTCTGGTTCATACACATCACAGTGCTGATCAGCTTTGTTTCAAGGACTGACTATGGCTAAAAGCAAGGTATTCCCTTACAGCAGTGCCACACACAGACAGGGATTCAGCGAAGGTACGTATCTTGCAAAATAAGCGGGCATAGCCCTTGCTGTAGAGGAGGCACTGTCCATGGGCAACTGTCTGATGCTTTAACTTCTTAACCATTGCTTTTCCTTGGCTGAGCTTCTCTTACGTTCACATTGAGTGCATAACTTTCTATAGGTCCTGGGAAACTTGCCACTTGCAGCAGAGCTGATGGGTGCGTGGGATGCTTTACATGCTGTTCAGAAGTTTATAGGTGCTTGTAAGATGCGAGCTTAACTGGTGCAGCAGCTTCTGGGTTGTTGGAGGGCTGCTGGACACACGTCACAGTACAAAGGATCCAACTCCTGCTAGTTTGCCTGCAGTGTGCTCCATTCTGCTCTTGCTTTCAAATGCCGATTATCCTCAACTTCAGTGGGAGCTGCATGCATGTGCTTGGCAGAATAGCATTATCCTGTGATGATTCAGCACAGTGTTGCATACTAAAGAGCCGTAGTAAAATGGGAGGCAAACCACAGACTCTGCCCTAATGTTCTTTCATGCACAGGTTGGGTTAGCATTGTATAAAGCTCTAGTGGAAATTGGAGTGAATGATTTTGGAGAACTGTAATTATTTGCTTTTGCGGAGGATCTAGATATTATCTTGGCAGGGAGTAATAATTCCATTGAATGGTTTTGTAGTTGGCTTTTTGTTTAGTTGTTTTATGTGGGTTTAGATTTTTTTTATACGATAATGTCTTGGTGAACTTAAAGTTCACTTAAGTCTTGTAATGTTCCTTCTGAATGAACGTAGAAATGGCATGAGCGTATCACAGCAAATTGTCTAAAACAGCTTGATTTTGGGCTTGGAAAGCGGCGTGAATTCTCAACCTGGGATTTGCTAATGCTATAGCCTCAGATTTGGAGTCTTGTCTCTGCTGTCTGGTGTTTCTGGTATGGCAGTAGGAGTATGGATGGCATGTTACCCTACCCATGCTACTCCTGGTGAGCATAAACCTGCTGGTAGCTGCTATTTGAAGAGGGCTTTCCCTGTATAGCTTGATGTGGCAAACACACAGTCCCTTTTGGAGCTGAGTTTGTTTACAGGGATGATCACAAAGCCTGTGCAGTTGGGGTGCCCCTTGTGCGGGATGCTGTACGAACAGCTGGAGAAGCAGTGTGTGTGCCATGGGCTCTCCCAGCAATTCCCATTGTGAATGTGTAAAAATAGTGCACATCTGTTCTCTTCTATGGGTGTTGTCTCTGTGAAAGCTCTGATACCATCTGTGAGCCTGGCCTGCTATTCCTTCGCCTGTGCACACTGCCAGAATTTATTGTGCCTCTTTCCTGGTGTTTGCAGCTTGGGTCCAAGATCTGGCCGACAGAAATCCTGCTGGGAACTCCTTCAGGCCTGTACTTTGCCAAGTGAACTACAGGCACACTTGTAATGAGGAGCCTGGCTAGTCTGCTCATGTAAAGAACGGCTGAATTCCTTCTGAGAGTTTTGCAGCAAGTGTGCCCTTTGTATTGTTTGAGCACCCAGAAAGGTATGAGGAATGTTTGTAGGAAACTGATGTGTAACTCTATGAGGGATCAAGGGTGTTATGTTGTGGCATTAATATCCTGTATTATTTTCTTTGGGTTCTTTCCCACCTCTGGTCGATGTTGGGTTGGGTTGGGTTGGTTTTGGTTTGTGAGGAGGGGGGGGGAAAGTGTCTGTGTTCTTCCTGACATGAAGCAACAACTTAAAGAATACAAATTGGGCAAGGGCGTGCCTATGTATGTATGTATACATGAGAGGTGTGTGTGGGGGGTGCTTTATTTCCAGCAATAAAAATTAATTATATAGTTGGCATGAATAGCTGTGAGGATAACCATAGTGCGTCAGACAGCCAGTTATGCGTGTATTAAAGGTTAATGCTGTTTGTTCTCAGTGCATTAAATCTTTGTAAAGCGTGTGCTGACATGCATCCCATTCTGGTATCTGTTCACACACTCCAGTAATGATGCGTGGAGCAGGAACTCGTGCCTTTGCCATTCGGTGCTATTTAGTAAACTGAACTTCTGTATAAAGGTCTTAGAAAATGGCAAGGCAGAAAATGATTATCTTGCTGCTGATTTGACTTTCCACTGCATGCTGCTTTTCTGGAGATGAAAGGATTCTGAATCTATTCACTACTGAAAGTTATTTCAACTTTCATGGCGCATCAGGATGCAGGAAGGCAAGTTCATGTTCACGGTTGTTCTTCAGGTCTCTCTGCTGGAAATAGAACCTAAGCCATTAGATTTCTGCTTAAAATAACTAAAAATAATGAAATGAAACAATTAGCTGGTGAATTCTCATTAAATGCTAAATACCTAAGTAAATAGTGCAGCTAAGTAATTGACTGCATATGTAAACTAGCTGTAATTGACATGACCTTCATTTAACAAGCCTCCTTCCCATTAGTGGGGACTGCTGCCACAATTATGTGCCTTTATTCTAGCTGTAATTGTATGGACTTTATTGAAGTACAAACTAGGTCATGTCTTTCTGAGATCTGGTCCGTGGTGGGTGACCTGTTTTCATGGCTTCAGCTTTGTTGCTGCATTAGAGGAGGAAGGATGCTCTCACAGCCATGAGAATGGATAGCATTTAAGGAACTGGTCTCAAGCCTCATTTCTGACAGGCATCTTGTGTGACCCGAGGAAGCTGTTCAACGCTGAGTCTCAAGGCAGCTAGCATGCACCTATTTAAATAGATGTTCAGCAGGAGCACGCTTGGAAAATGGGAAGTATGGATTTGTCCTGTGTTCCAAGCCCTTTCTGCTTCCACGCAGGTGATGTGGTCCCTGCCTTGTGACTGGAGGGGTGTATGTGATCTGTCAGTGTTTGGAGTTTGTAAGGCACCTACTGCAGCAAGACAGCCAGTACCTTTAATCTTTGCAATATAACAAGCATTTGATGGGGAGTAGAAGAAAAAGGACTGGAAGATGCTGTCCAATTTGTGTCCAGTGCTGCACGGGGATATTAGTCCTGCTCACTAAGTGAGAGCTGAAATCATGCACACCCGTGAGTCTGTTCATCAGTAGCTCGAAGGCTGTTTCTATCCACAAAATGAGGTTTGTCTTAATCTGCTGTGGTATCTTAAACTACCAGATTCTGAGCAACTTCTCATAGAAATTATAGCCTTTAGAATGAAGATGCTTCCTAGAAGTTTAATTATTTTACTCAATATTTTGAGTGGAAAACCTGAGGACCATGTATATTGCTCTAGTCGTTGTCAAGGTAAAGGAGAATATTCTCATGTCCTGCTTGTGCTGTTCAGTTTAGTCTGCAACTCTTATACAAAGATGTAGCTGTGTGCTTGCTTGCTAATGGTCTGCACTGCTAAGCCATGCTTTGACATACTTCTCTATTGATATAAGTGGGAGGGAAAGGGGTGGCTTTTCAGGTGGTCACATTTCTTGTGAATAACGTCTGTCATAAAGTTGTTGGCTTTCAGAGACTAGTTGTGTTTTTTCGTAGTACCTATCATAGTGACAGTCAGATATCAGATGGGATGTAAATTGATCAAGCTTGACAGCAGTTTCCCTCCTAAATGGAGGGCAAAACCAATTAAGAAAGGATTAATTTATGTCTGAGATAAAATGCTGCTAGATCTGGTGACCAGCCAGCAAGTTGGAGGACACTGAGCCTCCTGACGGAGCTTCTCTGCACCTCTCTGCTTCTGATATATTGTCTGCCTTTTAAGTTTTCCTCTCAAATGAAGTTCTGCTATTGTAGTCACTCTGGATCCTATCAAGTTCATTGCTATCATAAATAAACAGTTCAATGATAATAGGGAAGGATGTGTCCTGTTCCAGGAATCACTGTATCCTTGGCTTCACTTAGCAAATCCTCAGCCTCCAACGCTCAAGCTTCACTGACGGATGCAAGCTCCTGTTTGTTCTGTGCTCGCCTCGGTCCCGCCTGTGTTGTGTCCTGCTGCTGTCATGTTGGGCGGCCCTCTGGCTGCTGTGTGCTCAGACAGAATCCGTCCACTAGAGTCCAGATATTGGCTGGGACCTTTGGGCACCACTCTAATAAAAATAATGACGCCTTGATTAGGAGCCGCCTGCTCTGTGTTCTGTTCAGTGCTCTGGTGGTCAGAGGACGCAAAACGGCTTTTGATTTTCCTTTCACATGAAAGAATTCTGAGAATTCTCAGAAGAGGGAATGTATGATTCTTGTTCCCACTGGCTCTGTCCTTTTATGCGAGCTAAACCGCTCTGTCTCCCTCCTGTCATGCCTCTCCACATTTGACCAAGGAAGACTGATAGCCTTTTTCCTTGTGTGGTAAATCATCTCTAGTGTCTGTTTCTTCCCTTTGAGGAAGAAATCTGATACTGCTCACTGTAAAATGTGTTTTTAAAATCCCAGGATGAAAAATATGCAAAATATTAATGTTCTGCATGGTTAGAGCAAACACTGTGTTCCTGTGAGTCACAGATGTCAGGTTTGTTTAATCTTAATAAATCTATGCCACAGTAACACTTCTAAACAGGAAAAGAGATGGAGGCAAGAAAGTGAAGTTGTGCTGGAAAGGAGGTGATTCTTAGCCAGAATTTGACTTAGTATCTGAGGGGAGGGCATGGGCACAAAAAATGTTGGTTTTCATTCCCTACACCCCACAGTACTTCATTAAGTAGACTTTGAGATCCACGTGTCAGGCACTGCCTTTCTAGTACATATTTCATTTTCTTTGTGCCTTTTGTGATTGATTGTCTTTCCACAGTGGAGTCTTGAGTACTAGTTTCCCATAGCATATTTGCAGGAGATGAAGTAAGGCTTTTTACATAGCACCCTGTTGGCAAACAGAAATAGCATTTACTCCAGTGAGTGCTGCCAAGTATGAGGTACTTCCGAGTGAACTTCAAAAGCTACGAAATAAGCATTAGCTGCTGCTTCAAAAATGTGAACAATGCCATTGCTTTCTAGCAAGCAGAACTGGTGAGAGAGCAGATAGGAGGGAAATACAACAACTGGACACATGATAGATGTTGTAGTAGCACTTGGGATCAGACTAAGTATAGCTCTGTGTCACAGCAGGATTTGGGGGGCTCTCGTTGTGATCGTATCCTACCTATGCACTCTGTTCTTCAGGAAGAAACAATTTCTACCATGGGAAACACATGGAGGCTTAGCAAAACACGTGAGTAGCTGCAGTTGTGCAAGCCCAAACTGTTTGGAGTGCTGGTAGGAATGAGTTTTGCTAATCCCAAAGCTGGTGAGGAGTTTTCTTGCCGACGCTGTTAGCTGGTGCTGTCCCTGTGTGCTCAATGAGGAAAGAGCCAAGCCAACTGATAAGCCTGAAGGCATGGCCCCTAACGTGATCCAGAACTGGAGGCAGAATGTGTGAGAAACAAGGCAAGCTGTTCTTTGTTCAGGTATGGCGGTGTGGTGTGGCCTGGCCATGCTGTTAGTTTGCATGGAGATCCCTGGGCTTAAAATATGTGCTTTGCCCACTTGAGATTAGCTGCTGTGGGGCTCTGGGGAAACGCAGCACAGCGATCCTGGCGCTGTCATTTCGGTATAGCGAGCACTTTATCAGTGCTGTAATCCAGTATGTCCTTCCCCTGGCATTCACATGATGCAAGCAATCTTTCCAGCTCCAATTTAGTAGGGTTACAAGCGCACAGTCCTGCATCATATTCTTGTTCTATATTTGTGTACGTACTTTCTACTTCTAGTTGAGGGATTGACCTGGTGAGACCTCTGAGGTGCATGGCCTCTTCCTGTGCTTTGAGGATTGCTTTTAAAATACAGATGCAATTTATCCTGGTGCCGTTCTGTTTCTTTTGGATTTGACTATTTTTGGCATAGGTAGATCTTTAAATAAATAATATTTAAAAAAAAAAAAAAAAATCAAATATTTGGCTTTCCACTTCCTTGCCTTCCACACTTGTGAAGCTGCCTTTTAATGCTGAAACGCTATGTTGCTAAATAGCAGTTCTGCTCTTGTTGTTACTTGAAATAGGTGTAATAGTTCAGTAAATAAGGAGTTTGTGTAGTATATGATCTAGTACTTACCACAGCAAGACATTGGCACATATGAACTGACTCACTATTATCAGTGTTGCCCAAGTTTTCGCTTATGATTTATCTGGAAATCTAAATTGAAGAAACACCTTTGTACCAGAGTATGCTCCTCCACTGGTATTGTGTTGCAGCTGCATGCATGCAGTGTATCTCTGCAGGAAAAGCATGATGTCTTGTGACAGCTTAGGTGAATTTTGATAGCTTTGTTCCTCTGAGGTTAATTTTCTTCTTGTTTTTGTCCTTAACAGTTCCACCAAGTTAGAAGAGTGATGACCATCCTTTTCCTTACTATGGTTATCTCATACTTCAGTTGCATGAAAGCTGCCCCGATGAAAGAAGCTAGTGTAAGAGGACAAGGCAGCTTGGCTTACCCAGGTCTTCGGACCCACGGGACACTTGAAAGCCTAAACGGGCCCAACGCTGGTTCAAGAGGACTGACGTCGCTGGCGGACACTTTTGAGCACGTGATAGAGGAGCTTCTGGATGAGGATCAGGACATCCAGCCCAGCGAGGAAAACAAGGACGCGGACTTGTACACATCCCGAGTCATGCTGAGCAGCCAAGTGCCTTTGGAACCCCCGCTGCTTTTTCTGCTTGAGGAGTACAAAAACTACCTGGATGCTGCAAACATGTCCATGAGAGTCCGGCGTCACTCTGACCCAGCTCGCCGCGGGGAACTGAGCGTCTGCGACAGCACGAGCGAGTGGGTAACGGCGGCGGAGAAAAAGACTGCGGTGGACATGTCTGGTGCGACCGTCACAGTCCTTGAGAAAGTCCCGGTACCGAAAGGCCAACTGAAGCAATACTTCTATGAGACCAAATGCAACCCCAAGGGGTACACAAAGGAAGGCTGCAGGGGCATAGACAAGAGGCACTGGAACTCGCAGTGCCGAACTACCCAGTCTTACGTGAGAGCTCTCACCATGGATAACAAAAAGAGAGTTGGCTGGCGGTTTATAAGAATAGACACTTCCTGTGTATGTACATTGACCATTAAAAGGGGAAGATAGTGGGCTCGTGCTGTACAGATTATATTGAGACGAAATTATCTATTTGTATATATACATAACAGGGTAAATTATTCAGTAAAAAATAATTTTATGGACTGCATGTATAACTGAAGTTTATACAGTACAGTGATTCCACAATCTATTTATTGAACGTATCCATGACCTGAAAGGGAACAAAAGTCAAAGTCATTTGCGCACAAATTAAAACAAAAATAAAAAGAAAAAAAAAAAAAGGAAAAAAGAGGAGAAAAAAAAAAAAAAGAAAAAAGCAAACAAACTAAAAAAGTCTGCATTACATTCCTCGATAACGTTGTGGTTTGTCGCCGTTGCCAAGAATTGAAAACAGAAAAAGATTTTAAAAAAAAAAAATTAAAATTGCATGCTGCTTCAATTGTGAATTGATGATAAACTGTCCTCTTTCAGAAAAATAAATTGAACCAAAACATTCCGTTTACATTTTAGACAGTAAGTATCTTTATTCCTGTTAGTACTATATCTGTTTACTGCTTTTACCTTCTGATAGCGTTGGAATTAAAACAATGTCAAGGTGCTGTTGTCATAGTTTTACTGTTTCTCTTATTTTTGAATTCCCATCAGATTTGGGAAAAAGAACAACAACAACAAGGAAAACCACATTACCTTATTCTGGATTAAAGACAAATTTGTTTCTTGTATGTTGTGAAGGTGTTTGCGATAGCAATCCGACTACTACTGATAAAAATAAATAAATAAAAAGAGGCAACTGAAAAAGAATGGTGATGTTCCACTTCACATTGTTGAACTTCAGGCTTCAAGGCAGCACTCAGTTAACTGTCTGTCAACATGCTTTGCTGGGTTATTTTTTTAGTAAGTCATTGTCTTTTGAGACTTGCCTTTCTTTATACCATATTTGTTTGTGTTTGGGGTCCCCTCCCCTTTTCTCTCTCCAAGAAGGTTGACTGTGAGCTTCAGAATATTTCACTCTGCATACAGCTGGAGCTTGTCACGTAGAAAATGCTCTGTGGAGCGTTGAGAGCAGTGATAACAGTGTAATGTGACTGTGCTTGGATCTAACATCATAGTGAAGCCTGGCAGTGGTGTCAATGCAATAGGGTCTGAAACCCTCCCCAGTGAATCGGAGGTCAGCAGCACTGGAGAGCTTAGTCAGTTCAGAGGAAGGTTTGACTGAGGCTGTCCGGGTTGTAGTTGGGACTGAACTTGGTCCTGTGCGTCTCCTCCTGGAGGGGAAGCTGTGCCCTGCACACGTGGTGCACACAGCCTTTGTGCTCCAGGGTGAGAGCCAGGGGTGGAGGCAGCCAGCGCTTAAAGTGCACGTCTGCTACTGTCAGCCTGCGTGAAACAAGAACTGGCGTTAAAAGGAAGTGAAGAGCAAGGGCTGGAGTAGCTGGCTTAACATCTGCTTAGGTTCTGACCTGCTTACTAGGCCCTGTGCTGCCGCTCTAATGAGCTAGACAGAAGTAGTTCCAAAAAGGCAGGTTGTGAGCTTCAGAGCTGGGCGTAGCGCTTCATCTGGATACAGTGGGTGGAGAGGCAGACATAGCTCATTAGTGAGCTCACTAAAGAGAGATGCTGTATTTGTAAATCCTCTAGGCAAAGTAGCTGGAGCAAAGAGGGGAATGCTGGAAGACGTAACTATTGAGAAATCTGCATAGTGAAAATTAATTAAAAGCTGGGCACAGCTGATTTGAAATATCGTCCCCTGTGAAGAATGTATTTCACGCAGAATTGATACCGCTCCTAGTAGAAACCCTGTCTGCTAGCTTCTGTGAGCTGGCATAGACACCTTCAGAGTAAGTGGTTTCTTCTTAGGGTAAAAGGGCTCCCCTTTGCTAGGAATGTCAAAGTGGAGTCATCCTCACTGTAAAAATAATTTCATATTTTGTATTGGCTGCACGTTTGCTGGGCTGTGAACAAGAAGAGAACATTATGAGGCCGACTTGAGCTCCAAACTTGAGGCATTCCCACCTAAAAATCAGAAACTAAGGAAATCTTACTGAAATGTCCCAAACTTCAGCTGTTCCTTATGCAAACTGGACACTTGTGGTGAGGGAAAAAATTATTTTTTCTGTAGCTAGAATGTTTATGCATATTATAATCCATGGCATTTAGTAACCTGAACATCTCTTGGGTGCTGTTGTTCTCAGCCGTGTTTCTAAACTGCTGCAGGGAGATGGGGCAGCGGTAGCCCAACTCACAAGTGTGTTTGGTGGCAGTAATGAGTGAGCAACATCATCTAGAGCATGGAAAAAAAAAAGGTAGCTAGGACGTAATGGTAATCTAAGGTATCAAAACAAAATAATTCCCTGGTCAAACAAACTGAATTTCCAAAAGAAGTGTTAGCGCATAAACTACGCTAGAAATAAAGCTCCTCATCTCTCCCAGCTAATTATGGGTACAGCTTCAGTTCAGTCGTTCTGACCTGGGATGGTCACAGCTGCACTTGTCACAGTGAGAACGGTTGGATGGCAGGTCTGAGCAGTGCTGTTAGCTCCGAGTAATTGAAATGAGTAGGACTTCCCAGCTTTGTATTTAAAGCAACTCAAAAATGTAACCCCTGCGTTAATAGAAATGGAGAAAGCCCACTTTATATTACCTTTAGGAGCAGGGACTACAGCTGTTGTGTTACAGCACAGACAGGTGGCTTTTGCTCTTCAGCAGCTTTTCCAGCAGAGCCACCTGATGGGGTTTCTCCTCCCATCCCTTCTGCTCGCGTGCTGCTGAGCGCGGCCAAAGGAGCAGCCCTTGCTGTGGGGAGAACTAAGGGACAGCACTGAGAACGGAGGGAGGAACCGTGCCCTGCAGCTGCTCCAGAGCGGATTCCCATCATATGTATGTCAGCTGTCGCTTTCGACATGTGTATAACATGAAAACTGGTAGTTAAGCTGTGCTCCTGTGGCTCTCATTGCTTGACCCAATGCAGACGTGATGGCAGGCTCGGTTCAGTTCGCAGAGTTGGTGGCGGGGGCTTGGTTTTCCTTCATGTCACTTAATTGAAATCTTGCTGTGGTCTGTTTGTGACAGAGGTATATCATGCATGTCAGCAGGCCTAGTGCTGTGTTAAGTAAAGACTTGCAAATGTAAGTTCATGTCTGTGGCCTTGTTCTCTACTATTCACCTTGTGTAACATAAATATTTATTGTATATTTATATAATTTTATGTTTTTTGGAGGAAAAAAACAAACACTGAAATTGGCATTAAAATTTAAAAGCAACCGCGTCGTATTGTAAATATAATTAAGCTATATTTAAGTGTACTGATTAATATATGTTTAACTATAGAGTTTTTTATGTTTTTAAATATATTTTCAATATATATATATATATATATAAAACTTGGGGTTTTTTGGGGGACCATGTGACTCTTTTCTCTAACTGTAAAACAAACTTGAGTTTTACTATAAAGATGTGTGTTCTTTGTTTTAAAACAATTATTTTTACTTTATTTTAGCAATAAAATCTCCCTTGGAGGGCAGATAGCCACCTGTTTCATAGCTGGACAGTTAGCATCGGGAGGGGAGTGCTGGCAAGGATTTGCTTTTCATAAAACATAAGGATGCTCACAAGTGATGTATTTCCATATATTTCTGGCCCGTAGGTCCTCATGAGACTAAAAACCCACGAATGACAAACAGAACTGATTTTATTCAGCTGTAAAACGATGACTGTAATGGAAGTGTGCTGGGGAGTCACTAACATTAATAGCAATGGGTACGTGAGGCCCAAGTCCCGCAGCTACAGGCCAGTCCTAAGCTTGATTTTTAAGTGGTGTCATGTATATTTATATCCACTGCACTGAGCTTATTTATGACCCCCACACAGTACTGAGAGTGGAATGGCTCAGATTTAACATAGCATTTCTAAAAGAATATGCTCTGCTGCAGCTGCCAAGCCTTTGTATATTTAATTATCCCGTAAGCCTAGAAAAATCAATAAATCTTTGTGATGAATAGAAAACCTCCATATAACATAAAGAAGAAAAGAAAAGCAAAACAACTTCTCCTCAGAAATTTCCCAAGAGGTTGGTGCCAGTACCATCTCCACGAGAGCCCAGCAGACAGCGCTTCTGCAGATTATCATTTCTATTAAACACACGGGGACGTGTGCTCCCTGCCTTATTGTTATCCTAGCAGAAACCGACAGAAGCCGTAATAAATAGGCAAACTGCTGCTGGCTGGAATGATGGGGCCGTGTCCCTGGACTCACCGTCCCTGGAGGTGTTCAGAACTGTGGCACTGAGGGGTGGGTCAGGGTTGGGATCTCAGAGGTCTTTTCCAACCTTTGCGGTTGGATTCTGTGGTTCTATGCCATTGATGTGTCGTGCCTCACTGCGGGCCTTCCATGCTGCCAGCCTCTGCCCGAGACAGCAGTGGAGATGGGGGAATACACCGAGTTGTCTTGTTCTACATATATGGCACAGGTAACTAAAGAACAGATGGGCACCCCGAAACCTTTATTTCTACCCAGGAACAGTCTGGTGGGAAGGAAAGAGATAATTCCATAGCTGTTATCACTTGCAGCAAAACTCAAGGCTTTTAAATTACCCAGCCAGAGAAGAGTGGCAAACAGTTAACAGAATATCAAGGCAATATTCAAGTGCAGTGAGAAGGCAAGGATGTGTATTACAGCTTGTCCCAGGTGGATCCAATACACTTTCACAGGTCGCCTCCCCTAATTAAGATACCTTCTGGCAGGGCAATTAAAGCAAGAAAAGGAAGGAATGCACTTATTTGGATGGAGTAGAAGCAGCACTGAGGACTCACCTAAGTTGGTAGAGTTCTGATGCAGGTTGGGGAAGAGTAAGAGACTTATCTATTTAATTTTAAGCACTTGCTACCAAGTAGGGTAGCTAAAGACTGGGATTGACATAAACCAATGGGGTTGAACTGAAAAGTTTTGGGGTTGATTGGTGGGGCTTTTTTTTTTTTTTTTTTTGGTGATTGGTGCACGGTTGGTTTGGATGATCTTAGAGGTCTTTTCCAGCCTTGGTGATTCTATGATAGTCTTTTGAGCTAATCAGGCTCTGAGAGCTGAGGGTATTGCTGCACTAAATATTCCTTTAACTGGCATCTATGCTGAATATTTTAAATTATAATAATAAGGTTTCCAATTAGATTTTTTTTTTTCTGACCTTTAACTAAAGGCCACTCTGCTGGGAAACTCACTTTTGCTCTAACCCCAGCATGTTCCTTAATAGAAGCCTCACTATATTTGGACTCCAGCCTTGGGAATCTGTTATTTTAAAACAATGAGAAGTCAATGTGGCCATGTTTGTGAAACAAAAATAGTGCTGCCACCTTAGCCTTTCTGATTTAGGGAACAGCCCTGCGATGCTACGCTGCTTTCAGTTCTACATTCTGCTTTCAGTGGATGCACACATTTCATGTACAAACTGGTACAGCCCTGATAAAACTACCTCCTACTTTCTTTCCCAGGGCAGCTAGGCAAACACCCAAAAGGGACTACGGAAAGAAAAGCATTTCTTCTAAATGCTTATCGCCAGCAGCTTCCTAAGGAGCTGGCAGCCTTACTCTGTGCCAAGGCCCTGGTGGCAGCCAGATGGTGCAGCTGGAGCACAGGCAGATGGGCACAGCAAACAAGTCCATAGACCACCAGGTTTGTGGCTAGAGTTGGCAGCACGGCTGTGGTGTACACCTCCTCCAAATTAAAGCAGATTCCAGGCATAGCTCTGCATGTCCTTACGGCTTATAACCGTTGCCTGCATGGTGAGTCTAGGAATTAATGAGGGTAGAGTAGTGCAAGCAACTGCTATACATGTTAATCAGCCCTGCCTGCCACTGTAAAATAATACAGTGCATGGGCTGACAACCTGAAGCCTTGCTTGAACTTTCAAGGCAGGAAGTCAGTACGAGGAGATGCTAAAATAATCAGTTTATGGGGCAAGAAACTGTTTAGGGGTCTGCAAGCCATTGCCACGTCACAAATTCACTTTGAGGACCACAGCCTCCTCCGTTGCGTGCTTCCCAACACAGCCAATATCTGCGGTCTCTAAGAACTGGTGCAACACCCCAAACAAAGGCCGTGTCAGGCATTACACATGGCTGTAA